ACGCATCAGATCCTTTCTCCTACAATCTTTAGCTTTAAGAATTGCCTTAGCTTCCGGTTTCAACTTCTGCAAGTGGTATCCATTGTATAGGATAATGGCAACTGATGGATTTCCATCCCTCCCCACTCGCCCTATTTCTTGCAGCAAATCTACCAGATTATTTGGAGGTCCAAATAATACCACTCCACTACACTTTTTTACATCTAAACCCATTCCCAGGGCACTGGTTGACAAAATAAGTCTCAAAACACTACTTTCCTCCTTCAATGCATTAATTATGATGTTTTTGTTAACATCTGGAGTTTCAGAATGGAACATCTCAATATACTTGGCACAATGTGGCAATTCTGTTACAATGTACTTATAAAGTTTGGAAGTGTCATTTATCGATGAACAATACAAAAGTGTACGTGGGAAGTCCTGACTTTTTTCCTCTAATGCATCTACTAACCATGTCATTCCCATTTCAATTTAATTTTTAATTTTGGAAGATACTAGTTTAATATTAGACTTGTTTGGTGATAAATTAATTTCTGTTGTGTCCTCCGCTAGCTGCAATATTTTCATGACTTTTTTCCTAAAGCTTACAGTGCAAGTTGCACTTAAAGCCAATACTGTAGCATCGGAAAAGAGGGATCTTAGTTCACCTACATTTGAAAACCATTTTCGAAAAGCCTTTTTTTCTGTCTCCTTCATCTTGGCCCCTGAAAGAAAAATAGAAATAAGTACTTCTATAAAAACTTTTATAAAAGGTAAATATCAGCATCTCTTGCCTAGATTGTTAATTCTTATGGCAAAACAAAATTAAATACATGTATGTGCTTGTCCATATTGTTATGTAACAGCCTATCATTCAGTGGTTGTTGTTGGTTGCTGTCTATCACATTTGTTTAGGGTTTTAATTTATTTTTCATACATTCTTATAATTACATTGTAATGGTTCATCATTTTGCAAGTAGTGGTCTTAAAAGAGCTTACTTTTTAGTATTAGGTTAGCTCGTTCTGAAAGCTGTACAGTTCTGTACCAGTGGTCTTAATTTTTTACTTCTATATTTTTGAAAATCTAAATTCATAAAAATGGGAAGGGAGTACACATCAATATATAGAAACAATTCATCAAAATTTCATGCAAATTAGTTGAATAGTTTTTGAGTTACTGTCTGACAGGTTGACGATTGACAGACAGTCACAGGTTAGGGGAGGGTTGGGATCCCGCTTACATGTTTAACCCTGCCACATTCTGTATAGTGCCTGTCCCAAGTCAGGAGCCTGTAATTCAGTAGTTGTCATTTGTTTATGTGTTACATACATTTGTATTTGTTTTTCGTTCATTTTTTATGCATAAATTAGGCCGTTTGTTTTCTCGTTTGAAGTGTTTTACATTGTCATTTCGGGGCCTTTGATAGCTGACTATGCGGTATGGGCTTTGCTCATTGTTGAAGGCCGTACGGTGACCTATAGTTGTTTATTTCTGTGTCATTTGGTCACTTGTGGAGAGTTGTCTCATTGGCAATCCTACCACTATTCTTTTTTATATAGACAACGGTATACCATAATACGTCCTGTAAATGTGCGAATAGAAATGAACATGGGGAATAAACATTGTATCCACTTACCAAATTGCTATTGTGTGAAACTCATCAATTACAACCAACTTAATGTTCAACTTCTTTAAACAAGTTCTCCAATAGGGATCACCAACCAATGTTTCTGGAGATGCAAAAATGACATCTATCAACCCCTCTTTGATTTGATCGTCACTCTGGGAAAGATGATCCTAAAATGCAAAAAAAAATGTAGGTGGGCAGTCTCCAAAAAGACATATTTCTATGATAACTTCTATAATTTAAATGTACACTGTACAAATACCCTTTCTCCATTTCACTGCGTTTGATTAAAGATTGAAATCCAATGAAATAATTCTTATTGTTGTAAAGTCCAATACAGAAATGAATATAGCTGAGATTTCAATGAATGCATGGCATATTTTCTCGATTTTGAGATGTTTCTGCCAATGTATCTGTTTGGCCATCCAACAAGGTCTTTTAGACTGCACTTTTTCATATTTTTTTTTTATTTTTTCATTGTTTAACACCTGAACACAAACATGACAAATAACAATCTAATTTAAAAATTAAGTTTCCCGCACGTTTCTGAGCCATGTAAAGCTAATTATGCTGTATCATTTTGCTCATTGTTGAAGGTCAGATGGTGACCTATAGTTGTAAACTTTGTCATGTGTTGTCTGGTGGAGAGTTGAGTTGGCAATTTTACTTCAAGTCTTGTACATGTACGACATCTTCTTATTCTTATATGCATGTATATTTGTTTTGAGATAGATTATTAGTACATGTAATTTAACAACACTTCCCTTGGACTCTGGTGCTTCATTAATACAACATGTAGTATATATCTTTATACAAAGTATGAAGAACTAGCATTATGGCCAAAACGACTGTAAAATACTGGCAATATGACCGATACAATCTGTTCTCGGTGAAATGAGACAAATTTATGTGCTACCATGGCTACATGTATGATGAACTGCTTCTGCAGTTTTTTTTAACTTTGCTCATGTATATCTAAGTTTCATATTACTGCTTTGTTACTGTTAGTCATGTGTATGTGTTGATATACTGAAGTTTAAATGTTTGTTCCTGCAAATAAATTTTATTTTATTTGATAAGGCATACATGTACATCTTTGCCTGGTCAGATGCGGATCCAGGACTATGGAAAAGGGGGCCCTGCATCTAGACACCATAAGGTGTGGGAACAACGTCTTAAGACATTTTTGTAAGATAGAGGCATTGTATTAATTATATAAGTAGCTCCAACAGCATAGGCAGATCCAGGGGGGCCTGGGCTCCCCTTTTGTGGGAAAAATTTAGTTGATTATATAGGGAATCACTGAAGCATGACTGGAGGGGCCCCCTCTTAGGTCAGTCAGTGGGCCCCCCTTACAAAAAGTTCTGGATCCGCCACTGTACAGGGGGATAACATGTCACCCCTAACTGATTTCTCATGTGTTATAAACATCTTTATTATACAACACTGCCAACATAATAATTATAATATAAATTAGGTGTTTAATGGCATTAAATACTATAGTATAGACTATTCCATTTATTGAAGCCTTACTACCACTGCATGCTTAAAGTTATACTAACCTTTGTATGCAGCAGTAATATTTCCAATGTGCGAGAGTTTTTTCAACTGGTCCTGCATCAGAGCTACTAAGGGACAACAGACTAAAACTTTTCAGTCAGAACTGTTTTCAATAACCGCCCGGACAACTGGAAGGTACAGTTGAAACGGCAGTGACTTGCCAAAACCAGTCGGGAGTACAGCCACGCACTTCTTCTTGTTAACTAAACACTCTAAAATTTCCTTTTGCTTCTTCTTTATATCATTTATACCAAATTTTGGCAAAACTTTTGTCAAAACGTAGTCCAAACTGGGCGCATCCATGTTTTTTAACGATCCGATAATGGTATACAAGCCCGTCGCTGATTGGTTAATCGAAATTTATTTTCTGCACGCTGATTGGTCGGTCAAAGTTCACCAAATTTGACCCTAGACATGACCCTCAAGCGGCTGTTGTTAGATCTCCCACGCGCGACATATAAACAACGAGGAGCAAGTGCGGAGATTTAATTTTAATTAGATTGTTTTTGTCTTTGCGTGGTCAACTTTTCTTTGACTTATTAGTTGTGAATGTTTTCCGTTTGAACATCCATTCGCATATCATATGTATCAACTAACGGATAAGTGAGATTCTTAATCTAGCTCAAGAATCTTACTATGTCAAGGATTCATGTAATCTGTTGAATAGAGATTGCTAGTTTTGTTTTGTCCTGGGTTGATTGATCATCATTAGGTTACTAAATTTAACATTGCATTACTGCTAATGGCCCTCGTCTTTTAAACTTACGTTCGTGATATATTTAAAATGAATTGACTATTCTAATAAAACAGATTGCAGAGCTGTGTAACAATTTCTTGTGATTGTTATTAAGATATTGTAACATGTATTGCAGTGAATCTATATTGTTATTTTATCATTCAAGAATTGAGAAATGGTAAACATTGTTTGAACAATTTTCACAGGCTTTCATATTTCTCCGGCTAAAAATAAAAATAACAGAAGACTTAACTACACATTATATAATGATAATCAAATTGGAATGTTAAGTTAATAAAATGTAGCATACCTAAGAATTATATACTCTTAGCTAATGTACGAGTTTTGTTTTTTTATTCTGACATCGCTTTAGAATATAAAATCACCAGCTTTGAAAGACCTAACATTTGGATTGTCATACAACTTAATATGTTGACTATCATGATATATAAGTTTCATACATATGCGCTAACTATAATTTGTACATTTTCTGATAGCCCAATTATTTCTTATGTCTGCATTCATATGCATATAGTTTTTAAGTTAAATATATAGCACTGAAAATCTACTATATTTCGTAATGGTTCGTTAATAGCAACAAGACAGCATTGCCACCTCATTTCATACTTTGTATTGTTTAAATTGATATCACGTATATCTTTAAAGAAGGGTTTTCTTTAAGTTTTGAATTATTGTTTGTCCCTTGTTACCTTTATAAAATTGATAGATTTTGAATAATTAAAATACTGAGATAGCACCTGTAAAGCAATTGTGAATTGGAGCAGTCATTTTGATGTATGCTACATGTACCTTCAAAGGACTGGAATAGATCAATAATTCATAATCAGTCGTTCAGTCAATTTAGGCTTTATCCACTGCAGCCAATACAGTCGTGGCAGTACAAATTACATTTTTCTAAAATATATCCAGTCTATGTTTTGACTTTGAGAAGTTGTTATTTTCCTAAACATCACATTAACATACTTAACTGTCTAAAATGGTTCCTGAATACTAACGATTGACTATAAGCAAATATTTCAAAGTATTTTCCCTTCACTTCTTTTTATTGACGCAGTGGGTTTAAACGATTAACTTACAAATATTCCTGCCTTGAACTTTGCACTGTACTGCAATGGACCAGGAACAAAATTAGCTGAATAACGCATTCTAATAGCACATTGAACCTACAATTTGAAAATAGTATACAAATGTATCTATACACGTAATAACATGCCTGCTGATATTTGTATTCATTACTAGTATATTATCGCACTCCGACAAAAAAAATCTGTTTGTATTTTTATTCCTTTCATTTTAGTTTTTTATATATTACATTTTAAAACTGTTTTGATTCGAAAGCCCTTGGTGAATCTAATGTAGACGAAACGCGCGTCTGGCGTATAAAATTACAAGCTTGGTATCTTTAATGAAAATACTCATTGACGTTTTGGTCCCAAGTCTATCAACATCCTGGTACTGAACACTATTGTTGTTGTAGGAAATACCATTGATGTATTCTTTTTCTGAACACTATCTGTTACATAATGTTCAATCATTCGTACCAATTAGCTTTTTGATGATCAAATGTCACACATGTAAATATATATAATTAAACATTGTGTTATTGTCTGGATGAAATAGGTCTCAAACAGTCAGGGGCATTACTTAAATAAGTAACAATTAAAATTACCTATACAAGTAATGTTGAAAACGAGGCTATTTTAAATATTACTTATATAAGTAACTTTTCTGAATATTATTTGTATAGGTGTCCAATTATACAGATTTTAGTAGTTTTAACAAATTTTCACAGTCATCTGGTTATTTTTCCCATGAAATATAAAATCTAATCCTTCTGAAACACTAATTAACTTTCTGACGCACTTATCTTTCATACTGACGCTTCTGGGTCAAAGATTGGTCTCATGGGACTATTAAATTATCATTTTCCTCCAAAATCTTGAAGGTAGACTGATATAAATAGATAGATACTTGTGAATTAATTAAGACTTGAAGTTATTTATAACTTGTAACCAAAATCAATTACATATGTTCCTTCAATAAGTGTTATTACTATTTTTTTCAAAAATGTATAAAATAACTTATTCAAGTAATATTTTTGTCATTATTTTTAAAGTAACCCTTTATCTCTGTACTCCTCTCAAATCTAATAAATTCTTTATTTTATGATATAAAATGATGTAAAAATTCATGAAAACTACATTTAGTCTATGCTTCTATTGAAATTTAAAATAACTCTATTAAGTAATTTTATTATTTTTAAAAACAAAAATTACTTATATAAGTAACTTAAAAAAATAACTTGTTTAAGTAACGCCCCTGACTGTCAAATGCAAGTGTTCGACAGAAATCAATTAATTTTAAAATGTATAATTTCGTGCTTGAATGTAGATAATATTATATTGGGTATTGTTTGTAAAATTTCTTTTGCAAATTTTCTTTTATTATAATCTTATATGATTTGCACGATTATGCCAACTGTTATATTATCATAAACAGCTGTATCAAATGTGTCAAAATATAACTGACAAAATTTATTAAGATTAAACTGTATGAATAGATGTGAACTTTAACTGAATGTATCGAATAATAACAACGCCTCGGAAGCACGAAATATTTAACGCCTTATACTTCATTTTTACAACACTGAGTGGATACCTTTGCTGGTGGACAATCAGTCTCTTATGATATCATCAACTCAGTAGTCAGTACTTCGGTACGGACCTGAATTATAACGGTTTAAACATTTTTAACGTCCTTTTTGGTCATATAGCCCTTCAACCTTTTCGGGTCTTATACATCCTTGATTTTTAATTACTTGGTTTTGAGCGATCCTGATTAAGTAGATTTAGACAAATGATTCTGACACATGACATTGGAAACGTATTGTTTTAATTTTTAACAAATCTGGGTCGATACCTATGATAGTAGATCATCAGTCTCCGCGGGTGTCATCAGCTGCGTAGTCAGTACTTCCGTACTGACAAGTTAAATAACATGTATAACAAACCTTTCTAAAACTGCCCATTAATACATTTTGAAATTATAAAGAAGCTTGTGTGTTGTGTGTTGTTTACTATTGTTTGTTTGTTTGTCTTTTTCATTTTTAGCCATGGCGTTGTCAGTTTATTTCCGATCTATGAGTTTGACTGTCCCTCTAGTATCTTTCACCCCTCTTAGATTTCCATTTCCTCAGAAAAAGTTGAACTTAGATTGATGTTGGCTACTTTTAGGTCTTTTTTTGTCATATTGCTCTTCAACAGTTCCGGTTATTGTATATCATTTGCTTTCAAATGTGTTGCTTTAAGTGTTCCTGATAAAGGTAAATTATAAAACGCACTGTGGACGCATGCATTTTAACAAGGGATTTTAATTTTAACTTTCGCAGTTTCCTGTAAAATACATGTTAAAATACGCCAATTATTATGTAATATATACATCCATATTCATTGTAAAGCTATCTATCCAGTCTGTATGTTTCAGTAAAGTAGTGTTTATATATCGCATTGGAATGTTAGTATACGACGTAATTTTAAATCCATTTATATACCAGAAGATTTCGTATATATAACATGTATAAATTTCATTTGACCCTTCGTCAAACTTGTATTTGAATACTGGTAATAAACTTGGTGTGGGATCGTAACCTGGATTTTGGAAACTGGAACCTTCAAATAGTTCTGCCAGTACAGCAACGTCCACTGTTATCTTCGGATATGATGCTACAATGCGAATAAAGTTCATACTGAACAAACTTATAATAAATTTACACTTTTGGACCCATTGTACTTATTTTCTCTTTTATCAATTTTTCTAATCAATTTACGTCTACAAGGAACAATTAGTATGCATAAGTCTTTATTGCTGCTTAATATTATGTTCATTTCTGAATATAACGAAGTATAAGAAAAGACGCATTCATTAAAAAAAAATGTCCATTGAAAACAGTCGTTGTCTTTGCAACATATCTGCAAAGGGAGTTGAACGTTTACTTTAACGTTTAAAAAATGTATTTTTATGAACCTTCAATCATTCACTAGCATCAAAACTTACAACCAGATATTCGAATATCTTTCCTGTTTTATTTTTGATGCATAAGTGCAACAAACACTTACTTCAGATCCATACGCTTGAATATTGAAATAATCAATGGAGACGAGTGTACTTACAGCTACACTCAGGATAAAATCCTGTTTCTGATAACGTACCAATTGGACAGACAACTTGCCCACTTCCTGTAAAAAACCAAAGCACCGGACATAAATTGTATAACATTTATTCACAATCATTATTTTATTACACAATTGGTATGTATGCATTATGGTATCTTTCATTTAATGTAATGACATAATGTACTTGTCGGAGAAAATCCTTTCAATCATCAAAATCCTGGAAAAATATACTGCCATTAATTATTATCTTCCCGTACAATAATTCGCAGATGTTTTCCCGTATACAGTCACCTTTACTACTATACTTCTCATTATAACTTCGATTACCACACATCGCAAGTGCGAGGGGAAAACCGTGATGAAAGAAGGCAAACAAACTTGTAATGAAAGATAAATAGTAATAACTGATTCGTAAGGAACAAATTGTAAAACAAACAATTTAAAATCTGTCAAATAACTTGAATTAACAAATGAGACTGCATGAGCAATATACAATAAAATATTGTAGCTCTTCCAATTTACATATTTGTCACGTGCTCCACGTGCGCTGTGATCATTGTTTATTAATGTTAGGATTCGGTAAACTTTAGCAAAACAATCGAAAGTTAATGTTCTTGCAACCAACAATCACTGAATTAAACCTTATTTGTCAATAATACATACTAGAATTGTAATAAACCTAAACCAAAAACGTGCTAACAGGATATATGCATGATAAATACATTCATGGGTTCAATATGTCTGATTACATTTATATGACAAGAAACTCGTTTAATATGTTTTAATGATATAATTGATAAAACAAGCAAATTATAAAAAAAGATATGTTCATACCAAAGCAAAACGATGAATTCTGCGGTGTCTTCTAGAGATAATAAATTAAAAACTCTCCACAGTTTCTTATTTTTATGTCAATGAACTGTTCACAAATGTCATACTCTGTTTGAACACATGCTTCTCTGCTAATGTTACCATCATTCTCTGTAGGAAGATTTCCTGGATTATATAAATAATTCATTATGTAAATTGATCATTGACAGCCACCAACCTCCAACATACACATTTAAAGTGTGAACCTTCTTTGTTGAATAGTATTTTTTTCGAATTCACATTTTGTATTTCGAAATACTTATTTACCATTCAAACAATACGTGTTGAATTAATCCACATCCCATCTGAACTTTTTTTATTCAACCAACACAGTTTATGCACTCATTAAAACAATATTAATATGATCATTGGCGGCTACCATTGAGGGTATTTTGTAATGTAACATTTTCGGAAATTGTTTAAAATAGGTATCATAAAACACCTATTTATACGTAGCATTCTGTTTCACTCCTTGCTATATCTTTATAAATGAGTTGAAGCTTTGTCGGTTAACCTTTCTTGTACATGTCTATCACATTACCCCCAAAACTTTAAAAAACAGCATTTGTTAGCACACGATATTAGACACTCAAAACATTAATTTCAACGCTGCGATTTGTTAATCTTAAATATAAGTGCACACAAGAGAAAATAAACTGATGTATAATGATTTCAACGTACAAAATAAAATATCAAGTAAAAATATTTTTTAAAGTATTTATATATTTATATATTCCTATGAAAAATACCATTAAGCCAAATGGGATAAATGGTTCCACAATGCATTGTTCCAGGAGGAGATGATGGCATTTTATCGCCGTTTGCACTGATCATTCGGTCCCATCCTTCTTTTAAATAGTCGTCGTTGATGACTTGACCACTTGAGAAGTCCTAGATATAGTCTTTTGATCGTTTTTCTTCATTTTTTATTTCTGTATATTCAGTGCATTCTGTACTGCCTATAAAGATATGGTCATTGTGTTAATCTAGTAATTTTCATTTTTCCTGCAAAAAACTGAGTACCATTTCAAATGTTGTGTCATAATAATTATAACTTGGATACGTATTATCATTTTTATGATAATGTCATTATGATAATAAAATTTGTATACACTGCCCATCTCTATTCTATTTGTTGAATTTCCTCGTACTTTCCCCTTTTATGCTTGGTTTAGTACATAAACTTTGAATTATAATCTGAACAAATTCAAACACAGACATATTTTTTATTTCAAATCGAAAGGGAAACGTTGACACAGGTTTTCATCTTTATTAAATACATCGACGTAATATAATTTGATAATTATTTTTTGAAGTAACTATGGTTTGTTTATCCTTTTAACAAACGGAAATTAAAATAACGAACAGGTTTTTTTTCATAAGTCATAAATGCTTAAAAAAAAGAAACTATCATATTATCATAAAAGACATGTTAGATGTGTAGTTCAATCTTTGCATTAATCTAATGCATGTTGATACTACATTGACTGCATTGGCACGGACATAATTAGAACACAAACACAATTCATACACAAGTGCAGTTAGAACGACTGAAATCTACACAAACCTATCTGGATTGGCACAATCGCGAATTGGTTGACCGGCATGAGGTGATTGCGTCTCAACTAGCTAACAACATTTTTCGCATTGCTTGATTTAAGACAAGACACCTTAATATTCTTCTAATCTGTGATTATACCGTTTTTTTTCCTATTCCTTATTGTGCCATATTGACTGGATGCGGTTTGGCAAGCAGGTGATGCTCTAATAGCATTAGACGTTTACAATGTGGAAGCACCTCTGTTATGTATTTATTTTACTGTTAAGCGAATGCACTTGTCAACGAATATCAAGCCTTTCTAAATTGAAGACAAATTTAATTCTTTATTAATATCGTTTTTAATAATGTATCAATATTTTCCATTCTGGTCTGGTCACAGTAATTATCATATTTTTGTTTTATCTACTGAACACGACATTCATAAATCTCCTTATTGAGGTAGATAACATCAGTAAAGATAATAGTACACTAAACATTGTTAACCAAGCTTTTTGAAGCAACTCAAACATGTCTGCATCAGCGTCTGGTGGTAATTAGATGAATTAAGTGGTTTCGTGAGGTGTAAGAAGTTTTGTCTTAATCAAAAAGAAATAATATAAATTGACATACGTAACCTACATATTTTTATATAGAGTGTCATCATGGTCATATCAAATATATCATCATCTAAGAACCTCCAAAATGTTTCCAAATTGCTGCTGTTTTTAATGAATTGTTTGATTTGATTTGGTTCCGAAAAGAAAATGTAGTCATCAGAAATACCTATTCTGTTGATTAGAAAAGAAGTAGTCACTATACTCATTGTCCGTAAATCATTGCCATCATAAGTTGTAGATCCAATCGAATAGTCATATATTCTCTGGTCTTTGGTATCTGCAAATTGTAAATATTGTATAGTAAATACGTATTATGTGATCTCATGTTACACGAACTGATATCATTAATTATACTGCAATCAGCTATTTTACTATACAGATAAAGCTATACGTATAAACGTAAGCTTTATACGTCAATGACCTTGACTGACCTATTAGCCACGCCTACTTACCGGAACTACTTTATTTCAACAATGTCACGTCACTTCCATGGCAATTGTGTCAACAATCGTTAAACTGTCGATCAACTGTCAGTTTTAATAATAAAAATAATAATAGATTCGATAGTTTTGTTTTCTTGAACCAATGATATATTTGTTTTTTATAATTTTTGACATTTTCAATTGATTCTTGAAAAGCCAACATATTCCAATGCCATAAACCCTCCCCCCAAACTTCGTCTGCTAAAATTTCCAGAAAAATGTCGGACGAAGTTGCAAACTTCAATCTCCTGTGGTCCCCATTAAATATGTTAGAAGATGAACAAGATGTAACTTCAAATATTGATGAAGATCTAGAAAATGTCCTCATCCAAATAGATATGCTGGCTGATCAAGGAAGTACTGAAATAGGTCTTGAATACTCCCTTGATAGTGATACACACACCACTGACACTGCAAATACATGTATTGCAACTGTTCCAACTGTTCCAAACACAACACATGAAAACATGGAACTTACAGATAAACAGTTTGACGAAGATTTTTTACATCTTGATGAAACTGGTGTACAAAACTTTCTTGATAAGCAACAAAACAAAAACACTGCAAAGAAATCATTTTATGACCTAGCATTGGTTACCAGGTTTCTTAGAAAGAAAAATGAAACTAGAGAAATACAAACAATACCAGTTGCTGAGCTTGACTCTCTTCTTTCTATCTTTGTTCTTACTGTACGAAAAAAAGATGGCCAAGAGTATGAACCGTCGACTATCCGTGGCTTCATAAGTAGTGTCGAGAGAAAACTCAGGCGTCACAAATATGGTCACTCTATCAAGGGAGATGACAATGATGAGAGTTTCCACCTTACTAGAGAAACATTAAAGGCAAAGCAAAAACCATTAAAACAAAAAGGCAAGGGCAACAAACCTAAAAGGGCCCAGCCACTAACAGATGAGGAGATCAGCATGCTATTTGACAAGAACATTCTTGGTGACAATTCTCCAAAAGCCCTCCTCAACACAGTATGGCTGAACAATTGTGTTCAATTTGGACTAAGAGGCGTCTCAGAACATTACTCACTTCGGTATGTTTTTATATGAAATAATATTTAAGTTCCGAGACAGGTATTGTTAAATGCAATAAAAAATTGATATCAGAGAATTTCAAAAAACTAACATAAAAAAAAAGAACAATATTAAAGCGATATGACATACATGTACGTCATAAATAACACACTATTATCTCCTAGATCTCGTCGATACAGTTGTTTCATTGGCAATCATTTCACATCACATTGTTTCTTTTAAACAAGCATAAAAAAGCTGAAATATTCACAGGAATAAATCACATTTTATTTTTATAAAATATTTAGAAAACACACGGATCATTTTTACTGCACATTTGCTCGAGTGTAATCGAATTTTCTAACTTCAGGTGAATAAACAATGTACATACATTGTACATAAAATGCATCTATATGTTGATTGATTGATGGTGGTTAACGCCACTTTCAGACCGCATAGTTATACATGTTTTGTGGCGAACAGTTACGAAGTCCATATTTAGTGTACAAACTGCATCTGGTTGTCGCTTTTGTTTCACTGAATAATACATGCATATAAATCCACTTGATGAATAAACTTAATAGCGTCTCATTCTGTACAATTCTCCATATTTGTGACACATCTTTCATCTGTAATAAACTACTGCGATTGAAATTTTGCATCATAGTAGAAAAAGTTTTTGTCACAGCTTGGAGTTTTTAATTCTATAAATAATTCTAGCACAATACTTCATCACTCACAAATATGAATCAAATTCAGACATGTATACATATAACTACTCCTTAGTTAGTGAATGGTATGGTGTTCAAATTCTTGCAGCTAGCAAATCAGAATCTCTGAAAATAAAATAAATACAAAAATGAGACTAGTCACTTAACTAAAGTGAAGGGAGTATAATGCATACATGTAAGAATACATACACAACAAACATGAAATAAAGTCTACATTTAAATAAGACATTTGGTTTTCTCGTCCAAATATGACATTTTGGCCTTTTATAGATTTTTATACATTGTAGAAGGCTTTCATACACATAATTTGGTCTCTGGTTGATCGTTGTCTCATTGGCAATCTACCGCAAAGTAAGAACGGATTGTCTGATATCATGACATTGTTAACTGCGATTGACCAAGTCCACTGGTGTAACTCGTTCATAAATAAATAAATAAAACTATTATTCTCAAATTGTGAAAAATATGATAACGATGTTGTTTTTTTTTCAGTTGGGGAGATGTAACTTTAAACACGGCATCTGATGGCACAAAATATCTAGAATTAAATGAAAGGCAGACAAAAACTCGAACAGGGGCAAATGTTGCAGACGTTAGAGAAGTGTCGCCTAAAATATATGAAACAAAAGGGGATCATGATCCAATAACGTACTATGAAGTATATAAATCAAAGAGGCCACAAAATTTCAATGATGCAGATGACCCATTCTACTTGGCGCCACGCACCATTTCATTGGCCGACACACGTTCCCAAATATGGTTTCTTCGACAGAAAATAGGAGAGAGAAAAATGGGTTCAATAGTTAAAACCATGAAGATTGAAGGAGGGTTAGATGAAAACAAGCGTTTAACAAACCATAGTGCCCGAAAGTATCTTGTTCAGAAACTAAGATCAAATGAAATTCCTTACACGGACATTATGCAAATTTCGGGTCACAAAAATGTTAATTCCATAAACAGTTACAGTTCAATTTCAGAAAACAAACAGAGAAAAATTTCAAATTTGTTAAGTAATACAAGCAGCGAGGAAACTTGTCACACTTCCACCGGGCCAAACTTACCGTGCACAACAACTTCAACAGTCCTCTCATCTTTGTCTCAGCCTGTCAACCAACAAAACAACCTTGATATGATGGCACCTTTCATTAGCTCGCAAACCAATATGTCCAGCCGTATCAATTCCATGTTTTATGGCGCTACTCTCCACATCAACTCCCTCAATGTTTACATGGACAAACCGCCTCAACAGTAATGGCCGCGCGCCAAATTCCGTTAGATCACAACGTGTAGTAACATTTGTCAAACTTTTTATGTCTTCAAGTTGTTGATTTACCACATATTTATTAAATGTCACTCTGTTATTAATCTAGTTCATTTTCTCTTTCTATTTCCTAAAAATATCAATGTCTTATCGCCTGGACTTTATGAATTACTACGCTATAAAGGGAAATACCCAACAATGGTACCCCAAGAGGGAAATTCTGAACACTTTTTTTTTCTTTTTAACAATAAATTTGTTACGTATTTTATTTTTGATATTTTTATCGATTTCAGTATAAAGACAATAAACGTATAGTGTCTTGAAATATGAAATTTATTTGTATTCGGCACGAAACAGGGGGAAATGCTCGGTAGAACCTCGCATTTCCCCCAGTTTCTTAGCCTCATACAAATAAATTTCATATTTCAAGACACTATACGTATATTGTCTAAGTATATGTGAAATATGTCAAATAGGGCTAGCACCATCGGAAAATCTCAAATGAAAGCATAATGATTGTAAACTTATAAATAAATAGTGTTCTATAGGAAACTTTAGCCGCCCTAACCGACCTGGTGAAGAAGGATATCGAAAATGCTCCCGTGGAAGAGGAGATTAGGGTAGTCGACCGGCGCAATGCATTGAACGGAGTCTTTGGCACAGTCAGAATCGAACCGCTCCAGCAGCATGATTTGGAAACGTTTTTCCAGGTAAGTCGCAGCACCATCTCCAGGACGATTGAAGATGCCCTCACCCGAAAGAAGGGCTTGAAGGTACAGCTAGTGCTGAAAGTGGAGCTGGTAAAAACGAATCCCGCGACTGGGGGGAACACCTACGTTATCCCTTACTTCAGATCAGTCCAGACAGTCATCACCGAATTAGCAGACCTTGACTTCGAGATTGCGGTCATGGTAGGGAAGATCAAGGAAAGCATGTCAAGGTATATGCGCGAGGGTAGTGGATGGACCTTTGCCCACATCGAGCAGCTAGAGATCCACTTGAACGAATTCAAGCCACTTAGGGGCAGCTCGTACATACCAACCCCATCAGCACTTGCCAAAAAGAAGGCAATCGTCAACGTGAGAAATGAGGATGATCGTTGCTTCCAGTGGGCAGTGTTGGCGGCCCTGCATCATGATGAGGTGGATGGGATTCATGATTATCGCCTTAACCAGTACAAGAAATGGGAGGGTGAGCTGAAATGTGACGATATCGACTTCCCAGTGTCCCTAAAGGCGATCGATAAATTCGAAAGGCGGAATGCAGACCTCAACATCAACGTCTATGGCTACGACGGTCTGAAGAAAGGTGAGGATGGGGAAAAGGACCTTCAGGTATATTCCCTCAGGATATCCAAGAACACCGGCACGCAGCACGTAGATCTTTTCTTCCTGACCAGCGATAGCAAGCAGCACTACTGCTGGATCAAAAGCCTATCGCGACTCTTGACGTCTCAAGTGACAAGTCACAAAGAGTCGGTATACTTCTGCCGCAGGTGCCTGTGCCACTTTTCCAGGCAGGACATCCTCGACGAGCATATGGAGTACTGCGGTCAGAAGGAGGCGGTCAGAATCGAGATGCCGGAAGAAGGATTCTTCATCAGCTTCCAACATCACAAGCGTCAGATGAGGGTTCCATTCACCATCTACGCGGATTTCGAGTGCTTCACGGGAAAGATGGATACCTGCAAACCCGACCCATCGCGAGCCTACACGAGGGCATACCAGCTACATCGACCATCGGGTTCTGCTACCGCGTGAAGTATGCCCAAGGCGACTACAAGAAATCGGTCGTCTACTGTGGGGAGGATGCGGCCAAGAAATTCATGGAGTGCATGGAGAAGGAAGTTGGGGAGATCGACAAAATCTATCGGGACAACAAACCCATGACGATGACGGACAAAGATAGGGAGAGCTTCGCGGCGAGCACACTCTGCCGCATTTGCGGTGGTGCATTGGTTGAGGATAAGGTACGGGATCACGATCACCTCACGGGTAGGTATCGCGGCGCCGCACAAAATCAGTGCAATCTTGACTTCCAGCTCCCCAAATACGTGCCCATTGTCTTCCACAACCTGAGTGGGTACGACGCCCACCTTTTCGTGAAGGAATTAGGAGTCGGGGAAAGGAAGATCACATGCATCTCCAACACCGACGAGAAGTACATCAGCTTCTATAAGAAGGTGGGAGACCTTGAGATGAGGTTCATCGACTCCATGCAATTCCTGCTCAGCTCTCTCGAAGCCTTGGCAGGGAATCTTACAAAGGACAAATTCAACGCGACGCAGAAGTGCTTCGGCGACCGCTCCGAACTGATGCTTAGGAAGAAGGTATATCCCTACGATTATATGGATGGGTCCGCAAAGCTGGAGGAAACGCAGCTACCGCCCAAGGAGGAATTTTTCAGCAGACTCTATGGCACGCACATCAGCGATGAGGAGTACGAGCACGCGCAGCAGGTCTTCGAGAAATTCAGCTGTCGGACGATTCAGGACTATCACAATCTCTACCTGGAGAGCGACGTAGCAATACTGGAGGATGTCTTCGAGGATTTCAGGGATACGTGAATGGTGAACTACGAGCTCGATCCCGCACACTACTTCACAGCCCCGGGGCTATCCTACGACGCGGCGCTGAAATTCACTGGGGTCCGACTGGAGCTTCTCTCAGATCCGAACATGCTGATGATGTTCGAGGGTGGGACTAGGGGTTGGTGTGGCCATGATCTCCCATCGATATGGCAAGGCCAACAATCCCTACATGACCGACTACGATGCGTCGTATCTGACCTACTTGGACGCCAACAATCTTTACGGGTGGGCCATGGCGCAACCACTTCCCACGGGGGATTTGAATGGATGGAGCTGTCAGAAATCGAGGACATCTTGAGCTATCCGGACGACCACGAATATGGCACCATGGTGGAATGCGACCTGGAATACCCCCAAGATCTCCACGACGATCATAACGACTATCCTCTCGCGCCGGAGAATGTGGAGATTGACGAGGTGCGTAAGCTGGTGCCTCACCTAGGTAAGCGCACAAAGTACATCCTCCACTATCGAAACCTCAAAATGTATATTGGAAGGGGGATGAAGCTTGCCATGGTCCTTCGCATCAGTGGATTTAGGCAATCCCCATGGCTTAAGCCGTACATCGACAAAAACACCGAGCTTAGAGCCGTGGCCAAGTCCGACGCCGAGAAAGATTTCTTTAAGCTCATGAATAATTCGGTTTTCGGCAAGACCATGGAAAATATCCGCAAGAGGGTCGATGTCCGGCTGGTCACCAACGAGAAGCAGGCGCTGAAGCTCGTGGCCAAGCCCAACTTCGATCGTCGGGTCGTCTTCACCGAGAACCTGGCAGCCGTCCATATAAAGAAGACGAAGCTTAAGTTCGATAAGCCCGTCTACCTGGGAGCATGCATCCTGGATATTTCGAAGATCCTGATGTATGACTTCCACTACGGATTCGTGCGGAAGATGTATGGCGACGACGCCCGGCTGCTCTTCACCGACACCAACAGCTTGGCCTACGAGATCCGAACCGAGGATTTTTACAAGGATATCGCTCCCCACGTCCAGGAGAAATTCGACACGTCGAACTATCCGGCCGACCACCCCTCCGGAATTCCGGTCGGCGCAAATAAGAAGATTATAGGCATGTTCAAGGACGAGTGCGGCGGCAAGAGCATGACCGACTTTGTGGGACTCCGGCCGAAACTGTGGGCCTACAAGATGGATGACGGCGACACCACCAAGAGAGCCAAAGGAGTCGTGAAGACCACCATCAAGCGCAACATCACCTTTGACGACTACAAGAGATGCCTCGACACGCAGCAGGAGGTCTACAAGTCCATGAATATTATCCGCAGCCACCTCCACCAGATCTACACTTAGGAGATCAACAAGGTCGCCCTCTCTGCCAAGGATACCAAGCGCCACATCCTACCTGACAGCATCAGCACCCTCGCCCACGGACACTGTCGCATCGCTGACGCCCGCGATTGAGGTGGGACCTTCCCTCTCACCACCCCTCTGCAATTAGCAGGCTCTGACGGGTGCGGATGCCCATCTCTCCTCTTCTGCACATAGCAGGCTCTGACGGGTGCGGATGCACATCTCTCCTCTTCTGCACTTGGCAGTCTCTGACGGGTGCGAATGTCCATACCTAGATAAATGAGCAGCATACGCATGCACGGCATCCTCCTCCCCCACAAGCCCCTCTCCAACGTAGAGCTCGACGAAGCTGCCAAGGCCCTAGGCATCCCTCGATTCAGAGGAGTATTCATGCGCGATGCCCTACCACCCAGCCCGCGCCGCATTGAATGTGGAATCTTGAATCACGATAGCTGGGAAGGTCCTGGAACGCATTGGACTTGCTGGTATTACTTTGACTCCTATGGATTGCCACCGCCTGAAGAGATGGTAAACTACTTACAGCCTGAAATTTGACATAGCACCGATGAATTACAGCAGCGAGGCTCGGTGGTGTGTGGTCACTTTTGCCTATTCGTGTTGAAAGTATTGGCGACTGGAAAATCGCTGGGAGATACAATCTTCTCACTCTATAAATAAATGGATAAGTTTGGATCTCATGCAAGAAAGCGTGCATCCCTTCGGCGAATGCTACAGGATTTGGATATGAACGACAATCGCATTTCTAGTCTAGGACATCCCCAGGACAGCTCGGATGCTGTGACAAAACGGTGGGTAACCCAACAAATGAAAGATGGTATAAAAGACATCAATGACCTAGAGGCTGCGCTTTGAGCAATCTCAAAAGAGCTCGAGGCGATAAAAAAACACCTGAACGGTCTCGAGAAAGATGTGGCGAAGTGTTTGCCTATGGCCGGCGGTAAGATGAGTTGTGCCCTGGATATGCAGGGACACTCAATCGTCAATGTTCCAGAGGAGGTGGCGGCACATGAACCGGTGACCAAAGGATGGTATGCGAAGAACTATGTAGATCTAAGCATGGCGATTCAAAAGAAAATAAACACCATCGAACAGAAGGTGAAGTCTTATCACACGACGGAC